AATAAATAAATAAATAAATAAAAATTGTAATCTGGCTCTAAATATATTCAATTAATGAATATTGGATATTGTGTAGCTTTGATGGTTCCTTTAGCCCATATATTGTCAAAGACTATTTTTTTAAGTTTACTTTTCCATAGCATATGTTATTTTATATATTATGCCATTAAATCAGTCATTTTATTTGAGAGCAGTAAATGTGGTATTTTAAAACATTACATTTTGATAACATTTTTACTTACATTTTTTTCTTGGAGGAGAATTAAGTACATGTAAGCAGTGAAATCCTGTTTTCTTTAATTTAAAATTATCAATAGGTGTTGATCTTGAAACATTCCAAATGCGTAAAACACCCACTTGAGAATCTAGTCAGATCAGGAAAAAGACTTATGTTAACAAATTTTACCTTAAACAAAATGTCCAGACATAAAAGTTAAAAAATAAAAACAGACAGACAAAAAGAACAAAAACTTAAACTTGCAAGATTTTTAGCCACTACTCATTAACATTCTTCAAACAACAAGATTATATAAGAATACAATCAAAGAAACAGATAAAATGGTATTCAAACTTTAAATTTCTCTCGTTTTCCTATTTTTGTTTGTTTGTTGTTCCAAATCCTTTTCTATGATAACACACTGCCTGTTTTGCAGCTTCCCCCACAAAAATCACAATTTGATCACAAAAAAGCACCTATTGACACACCTATTGCTCTAGAAAAGCTAGCCACTGAAAACTTCTCACTCCAAAATTAAATAATCCTTCCTGGTTTGAAATATTTGTGAACTACTCCCTTGCTCACCTGCTGCTAAACAAGGACTGTTTATATACCTGAAGACCACTTAGTAAGGTTGCTCCCTTCCAAAAGCCCACTGTAATAAGCTACTTTTGAAAACAGTCTGACAGTTCTTCAAATAATTAAATGTAGAGTTACCATATGACCCAGCAACTGCACTCCTATATACATACCCAACAGAATTATAAAAGTATGTCTACACAAAAACTTGTATACAGATATTCATAGCAGCATTACCCATAATGGCAAAAGCACAGAAACAAACTAAATGTCTATCAACTGATAAACAGAGGAACAAAGTCTGGCATATCCATGCCATGGAATATGATTCACCCAGAAAAAGGAATTAAGTACTCATACACCCTACACCATGGATGAACCTTGAAAACTAAGTCAACAGAGACAGACATAAAAGACCACATATTAAAATTATTACACTTGTATGAATAGACAAATTCACAGAGACAGAAAGTAGACTAGCAGTTTATGTACACACAGGTTTGCACTAGGAGCTGTGGAGAGGGTGGGTCATTTAGAGTTACTGCTAATGGGTACAGGGTTTACTGGGGGAGGTGATGAAAGGTTCTGGAATTAGATAGTGGTAATGGTTGTAAAACTTTGTGAATATAGAAACCACTGAACTGTAAACTTTAAAATGGTGTGTTTATGGTATGTGAATTTTATCTCAATAATAATAATAATAATAATAATAATAATAATAGATATATGAAATATTCCCATGTCTATTATTATATCCTGTGAAATTAAAGTCAATTAAGATATATAAATAAGAATCCGTCTACTTCTATGTGTTATGTAAGAGCTTAAAGAAGTAAAGAATTTCTTTAAAAATGTTGAGAGGATAGACTCTGTGTTTTATTTTACACTAAACAAATATGAGAATTATTTATACAGCAGCTGAGAGTACTCTGTCTTTTTAGAGACCTCTCTCTATGAACCTAAGTACAGTAAATGGTAAAAGCAGAGTCATTTAATTTCTAATTACTATTTTAAATTCCCCCATCTTCTCATACCCTGTCACTTCTCAGCTTTGCTAATTCTCTCATGATAGGAAACCAAGAAGGAGCATCATTTCAACCCACGGTAATAAATTCTACTTTCATTTTCAACGTACTTTGAAAATGCCTAGGTCTACCTAGCCATATGTGGTCACTGACTGTCAAAATTATCAACAGAGCCTCTGTCAAGATAGGTTGCTTTTACTGTCATGATGACACCCCTGAAATTATACTGTGCCTTTTGTACACACACAAACACAGACAGGCACACGTGTGCACATATGTAATATATTCCACTTTATTATCAAAAACCTGGAAAACTGGGCCTTAATTTCATTTTTATTTGTCATTATGTTAATTATGTCATTATGATATATAACGATATATAGTATAAATAAAAGGCATTTACTATAATAAATGATAATATGTGGGATATAGTCTCGGGACATGGAGTAGAGAGCGGGAATGGATTCAATGGAATTGTAATAGATAAGCATGATGTCGGGGGTGGGAGGGCAATAGATGGGGGGAGGGGGGTTGTTACCTGGTGAGCGTGAGAAAAGGGTAACTATTGTATTGTTCTGTACACCTGAAACTAACAATAAAAAAAAGTATGTGGGATATTAGTAAGTTTTACACAAAATTAACCAATAAGAGTAAAATTTCCTTGATTGAATTAAAGAATATACACATATTTAAAACTTTGGGGAACAGGGTACACTTACCTCCAGTTATAAACATACCAGGGGCACTGGGAACCCAGGCCAAACATTGTACAGAAGCTGCTGCACTGGGAAAATTAAATGTTGTTATGCAAGAAAATGATTCTGAGTCTATGAGGCGAATGCCATAATGCAAATGAGCCACAAGGAGATAATCGGTAGAGAGTGGGTCCCATTCCAGAGCTGTAACTGGATCCTCTTCATCTGTGCCTTCAAGAGATTCGGGTCTCAGAACATGTTTCTGACTTTTATTACCTATTAAAATATAAAGAAAATGACCTGTAACAAAATTATCGAAAAAGACTAATAATTGAGATGATATTAATTTTCTCCTTGCATACCACTGATCTCTGGCAGTATGGGGAATACAGATCTGGCATTTTCTGCAGAAGTCATAATTGATATGAGAATGCAGGGGAATTAGAGTTTGTCCAAATGATGAAAATCAGACTGAATAGCTTTGCTTTGCCAATCTCTAATACCCTGAATGTTTTTCCTATTTGTTATGGAAAAGCTGTAAGAAAATGACAGATAAATAATATATGTGACCCTGTCATCAATTACAGTTTCACTGAGTTACAACAGCATGGATGAGAAAGGGCTTTACAAAAGGAAGAACATCATGTTATAATAAAAAGAATAAGTTTTGGAGTGGACTGCCCAGGTCCGAATCTTGGTTCCACCACTTACTAGATTTGAGTTCTTAGACAAGATACTTAATCTTTGCGCTCAAGCTTTTATTTTTATAACGGAGAACAAAACAATATGTGGCAGAGCTTTTAAAATGATTAAATGAGTTAGTTGCTTAAAGTGCTTAGTACAGTAGGGCATATTGTAAACAGCATATCAATATTTACTGTCACTTCTTTCTCATTCATCATACCATTTGTCATAATCATAATTCATTCATGACTACCAATACAAATAAGGCAGCCAGAAAAATAAAAAGATAAAACAAGTGGAATCAACTGAAGCAAAAGATCATCAAACAATCCTCTTGCTCCTTCCAAATTATATATACAACTGGCGCTATGGAAATCCATGATTCTGCTGATGTATCACATGAGAACTCCAATGAGCCAGCCCTCTCATTCTCAAAAGAAAGGCAGTGAAACAACTAAGTTTAACGACTACACACGTAACAGAAAATACCAATTATTCCCAAGTATTATAAAGTTTAAAAGAAGTGTTTATTAAAAAATAACACAATTGAAAGATGCCAGAGCTCTTTCTGCAATGTCATCATTAAATATTATTTTTGAACGTATCAGATTATAAAAGCAGAGAAAATAGGTTTCTTTGGATCTATAAGATATTTGTAAGTGAACTGAAAAGTGGGATTAAACTCATCAGAATATATTATTCTTTAAATACAATGTTGATCTTAAACAGGCAGCATTTTATTTATAATTTTTGCATATATAATCATAGAAGGTGCATGTGAGGTTTCTTTTATTTGGGTTTATCAAATTTTTGCAATAACCATGAAGAAAAGTTTATTTGCTTCTTCTTTCTCAAAATCAGCATCTGCTAATTGCTATTTGATATAACAAATGTTAATGAATATTAACATAGCTGATCATTACAAGACAGAGTTAGAAAAATGATTTATTAACTTAAGCTGTACTAGCTATTTCTTAAGTAATTTTTAGGTATTAGAAGGTGCCAGTTAGTATCTATGATTTATTAAAAATATTCCAACATATGAAAAAACTAAGAACAGCAACACAAAATGTGGAAAAATTTGCAATGCAAATGCTATATTATCTAAATCATGTTGCTTCAAAGCCCATGCGTACAGTCAAAATGGTAACAAATTATAGTCACCATTTTCTGGTTTATCTAGTAACAACATTTTTATTATAAAAGATAGAAAACAGAATCTATAACCTCTAAAGCCAGTCATTAGTATAACAGCTGGTCATATTTTTATTTATATATGTTATTTATTTTATTATAATTTATGTTCTATTTTATTATAACAAATATCAGGCAACTTGTGTTGTCAGATAAGGACAGAAGCATATGATATGAAGATAATAAGAAGATGATGTTGAAAATTTCTGTATTAAAAACAAAATCAGAGGCCGGCCGAGTGGTGCGTTGGTTAAGAGCTGGCTTGGGATGCCAGAGGG